AGACACAAGAACAATCCTAGGTAAGTTTGGAATGTATTTGCCAATCTGACATACCTTGCCGTAACAAACTCTGTCCATTAGTAAAGAACAGCTGAGAGCTGCACAACTGATGATAGAAGAAACAAAAAAGTGAAACAAATATTCAAATATTGCATGTTATTATCTGTAGAAATAGTAACATATTCAAATATTGCACACTACTATCTCCAGTGACAGTAACATATTCAAATATTGCAAGCTATTATCTCTAGTAATACTAACAAATTCAAATATTGCACACTACTATCTCTGGTGATAGTGACATATTCAGATATTGCACGCTACTATGTCTAGTGATAGTCTCCTTGACTGAATTTCATTGCAGTGGGATTCTGAAATGCACATCAATGAAATGAATTCTACACCATTAACCTCTGACCAATCAAAGCAGTCTTTTCAGGCCTGACTTAAATTGTGTAGGCTAAAGTTGTCACCTGTATGATGAATCAATGCAGTAAAATGTTACCCAGCAAAAGAGGGCTCTTACTGCCACAATAAAAGTGAAAGGCCTTCTCTGATTGGTTGAAGTCAACTGAAATGTTTCAACACTGTACTAAATTTAGGAATACCACAGAGAATTTTTAAAGAAAGATGGATGATGCTTGCATGTACTTCCAGTGTTGGACATAAAATGCATAAATTCTTGACTGTTGATTCCAACTCAAGGAGGTTTTGTACCCAATAGGAATGAAGTCAATTAGAAGAGCCAAGATGAGATTTCGACATCTTGCAAGATGCCACAGGCCAAGAGGTATCCAGATAATAGCAGCGGTAGGTCGCATGATACAAGCAAGAGCAGCTAAGAGAAGGTAAACCCCGGTGGAATATCTGCCAAGACAACACAGACAGCCTATCATTCAGCTTTTTTTTTGTCTGCTTAAATGAAAGAAACACGTTTGAAACAGGGGGGAAAAAATTGGCCAACAAGTGATTGCCAAGGCCATACTGCATCATCAGGGTTCATTACAAAGAATCGTGTTGCGCACGCTGTTCAGAGAAGGTCACAATATTTTCAGAAATAATACAAATTGGCAAAGGACAGAAATCAGTTTCTAAAACTGACATGAATGCAGCTATATTGCAATTTGTTTCAAAGGGAATAAAGTTCTAGCAGCTTAGAAAGCTATGGGTGTACATTACTAAAACTATGCAAACAGGCAATTAGATATGCATCCTCCAAATACATAATTCTATCAATAAGCCATTTGCAAGTTAAATTTGAATAAAATCTGGTACACTGAGTTATCTGACTGCACATAAACGTAATGATATGAATTCCCCAGACTAAAGACACTGTTGCTATACCTCGTGATTCGGGGCAAGCTTTTGCATAGTGACCACCATCTCTAGAGTGGACTGGTTCCTTTGTGTCCTTTTTATCCATTGAGAACAGTGTATTGTTGCAAGGCATCTCTTATGTAACTAAGGAAAAGCTTGACCCAAATCACGAGGTATAGCAACAGTGGTTTTAGTAAGGAGAATCCAAGTTGTTATGTTCATGTGATTTCAAAGAACTCAAGTGTACCAGATTTGGGTCAAAGTTAACTTGCAAAAAACTTATTGTGAGGAGGGGTTGACAAGAATAGCTTCAAGACGACCAATGTTGGATTTCAGGACTTCCCAACAATATTATGTAAATATTCAACAATTGTCAGAGGCAGGACAGGGGTAAGGAATGCCAATATGTAAATTATGTTCAATACTTATCGGATAAAGGAGTGGTTTGGGCCCTGATGTTGTGTGAATGTTCCACTTGTTATTGGTGTGGGCATGGCTAGAAACCCTATCCATTCCTTAGAATGCCTACCGTACCTGTGCTGACTCGGATCATGGCCTTTGATCATATATGAAGGCCACGGGTAGTAATGCATTGCCCATATCGTCAGGATCATCTCCATGGTGTTTGTCAGCGTCCTGGCTGCCGTGTAGAAAACAAACCATGAACTAAGATGAGAGAAAAGCTGTGAAAATAATGCTAAGGACTTCACAAGTCAAGACTCCAACCATTTATAAGCACCTTTATCACATGAGTCAAGTGCATTACAAGATATCACAAACACTAGAGAGAAAAACTGCTACATTTTCAATGTTTATAATTCATTCATGCTGAGCACTGTCCAAAAGATGTGTGACTAGATCTTGTTTTTAATTACACGTTTTGCCCTTACCTGGCATATATATTCATGAACGCTGTATATTCAGTGCTTGTCCGAGAGCTTGCAAGCAATTAACCTGTAACTTAATTAACATCTCCCTGAAACAAAGTCCATCTTAAAATAGATTGCGGTACCCAGTGCTGACTCGGACCAGCCAGCCAACCCCAGCAAGCTCGGTGGTCGAGATGTTGAGACATCTGTCCTAGTCGTAGGAGGTCATGGGTTTGAGTCCTGCCCGAGTAAGCTTGTGAATTATCTAATAAGCTCTTAGACAAGCATTGAGTATACATGTACTGTGTTTACGAATACACTGTATACATGTACATCGGATAAGGGCAAAACCTGAAATTAAAATTAACATCTCCCAAACGCAACGTACATCTTGACTTGATCTTCCAAAATGAGTGTGTAGGCAATTTTCTTTAGATTACTCTGTTACAGTCTGCACTAGAAAGAGTTCTCATTTTGATGTGTGACTTATTTTAGCATCCTCATGAAAATAGACATTGTGTGGAATGACAATGTTAAGGGTTTGATAAGATTCATTTGAAGGCCTTAAACTCCAAAGTGGCTTTGGTGAATTATGACTCGTAATGTTGTTTGGTAAAGTCACAGACATGTCTGTATTCATACAAATGTTTCAGGTGAGTAGGTCATGCTAACCCGTCGTTATCCCCTAAAAGGAATTTATGTGAGGGTGATCAGCGAATAGAAAGGATACAGTCCATCTGGCCACATGTTCTCCCCAGAGAGACTGAGCAAACTTGTACAAATAGTAATCACCAACCGCAGAAAATGTGGCTTGAAGTATCTTGGGGAGTAAAACCTGAAATGAAATATCAATAAAAACTTTACCAATATATTATTATCCAGTTCCTAAATCCCACAGTGCAATGCAGTGCAATGCAGTGCAATGCAGTGCAATGCATTGCAATGCAGGTTTAATAAAAATATGTATTGAAGTATGAAAACTGAACTGTTCATGTTAACATCAGAAATATTTAAGATTATGATCCCTCAAACAACACTGGATAAAAAAATTTACATCAAACATTGACATGCATTATAAAACTGTTCAATTTACATACAAGCAAGAGGAAAACCATTGAATGACAATCCAGAGAAATCTCTGGAGTCAGGTGGTGATTGCAAACCTAATTTGCATGTCAGACTGGGAGGGTTTGGACCTGCACACCAGCAGAGAAATGCAAGATATGATCACTTTTCAACCTTACTCCCTTCAAGCCAAAGAAAGAACTTATTTAGCTAATTTGCCTTTTGCCTGTCTCTATCCTTGTCTCTGCCTCTGTTTCTTACCAACAGCATGGGATGGTCCAAGTTGAGAAGCTGAAGTGCCTTGTACAAGATGGCAAAGATGACTGGATGTGTGAATCCCCTCAAACCTATCTGCCACTCCCACGTTAGGTACCCATAGGTGATTACTAGGTTAAGGTCAAATGTAAATGCTCCAAAGCAAAATCTGAAAATTATCTTGAGAAAAATATATCTGTCTTATTGTAGCTACAGAAGTTAAGAGTTACAGTACACAACCCTTTTATAAAACAATTTTATAAGAATGGTTTAAAAAGCAGGGTTAATTTACGGGCATTTATGACATTTGAAAAACTGGTTGTCCGATTTTGAAATGATAAAGTGCTGATTTTTAGAAGTGGATTGAAATTGGACAAGTAATGCAACATTAAAAAAAAACCAAGAGGATATCCAAAGACGATATTATGCGCCACTTCAAGAGATTGCCAATATTCGTCAGGAACAAAGAATGTCTGAGTTAAAGCGGCGTTGACCCAACGAAACAAAAGCAACACTATAAGCAGTCTACTCCTTGGCCATGGTGCAGGATCCTCGACAGAGGCATTTCCTTTTGATAGGACTGGCTTGGGTGTGTCTGCGTTTGACAGGCTGGCTGTACTGTTTTCGTCTTGGTTATTGATACTTCGGTATGTCACCCGCTTTCTCCTTGTTAGGTCACACTCTCTAGTAAGGGAAGGTGGTTTGGTGTGGTCAGATTGAGCATGGTCGAGTTGGGTGTGGTCAGGCTGGGTGTGGTCATACTGGGTTGATGAGGGCGGTGTGGATTCAGATTGATCTGATGGCTGTGCAGGGGCATGTCTTGACCTCAAATTGTCACGTTGAGCCATTCCCTAGCCCTGTGGATCAAGTCTGCAAAATCCAAAGCAAAATGTACAAACAAATTATTTAAATCTTTGACTTGTAATGTGATCAGCAATCACTTCCTCAACTCTAACTCCATTTCTGATTTTGTTAAAAACACTGAAGACTCTGAGCTAACTCGTCACAACTCCTGAACTAAACCTCAATTCATAATCTCACAAAAAACACTATGGCCAGGCCTAGTACATCAATCACACATGTATCTCGTTCCTTTCCATGATAAAATATCATGTAATAATGGGAAAGTGGTGTGGAAAGAGTTCCGTATCCAGATATTACTTGACAACCTGTGCACAAACCCTAGGAGAGTAGTCTGAAAAAGTTCTACGTCAAGCAGGTAAATTTTTCCATATTTTACATGTTAAATTTGACTTTTTAGGACAATGTTATTCTCGCGGTCGGGATGACATCACTGAGTGTTGATTCTTTTCTCTGATTGGTCAACTGGTAGCTTTTCCATATTTCACACTCGTAACTCAAAGGGGGGACTATACTCAGACTATAGTGTTGTAGTTTACGGGAAAAATGTGCCTGAAATTTCACTATTTATGCACTATGCATATCTCCCGCCAGTGCCCAAACAGTACCAAAAGGGTTTCAGTTACTGTATTTTTAGTCACATTGCAGCAAAATATGAGGAAAACGTATAAATCCCAGAACAAAGTGAATGGAGAATTACCCCTTCGTCCAGACTTGAGTGTAATAAATGGAACAACCTCACTTCCTGATGACTGACGTGACTGATGAGTGATATACCACTCTGGGAGAAACTAGTGATGTCCACAAAGAACTGATGAGTTTATGCTTGCCCTCCATTCGACTGAAACATAAAATGATTAACATACACTCACGGTGCAAACACAGAGTAAGCCTACCTCAGACTGCTCTATCATGGTGAGCTCATATGGGCATGTACCTACAGTGCAATCATGACAATGCCAAGGGTCAGATTTTAGAAAGTGATTACCCTACGCTTTGAGATTTTAAAACGACAGACATAAGGGGAAAACCTTCTCGGTACTCCTCTTCTTGTCCTGAGAGCCCCATGCGAAAATATTTGTCAACTTACCGGCTTACTGATTAAGCAGAAAATGTAAACTTGAAAAGCCGAATATGTTGTGAAAAGGAAACCCAAACTCACAGTCACACAGACTAGACGAAACGCATGTGCCAAGTAGGACGCCCTCTTTCGGTTTCACTGACAAATTAGTCTGGTTTTCTGACTTAATGGGAAAATGCCGGCTACCTACAATAATGAATTTCTTGTAAATGGAGTCTGGGAACTGGGCGTCAACATGCTAGCGCATTGGCCGAGTAAAAGTAGCGGCCGGCCGGCCGGCCCTCGAGTACATTATATATTCTGTACGTGTACGTGTGCATTACATGGGGCTGCATGCACAAGTATGTGATCTTACTTTGCAGACGGCTCCTTTTTCAACACTCTTTTTTATTTTGGTAAGTCTTTCTCGAAAACTGACTTCCGTTTGTTCATTTCAAAGTCGAATAATTTTGTTGACCTACCATTGGTTTGATGTTTGGAGATTGTAAACTAGCGCGGGTAATGAACCCCACTGCACAGTTCTGGGGGGTACCGTAATTTTAAACTAGTCAGAGACTCTTTTGCAATTGGACATGGTCGGGTGATTCGTAGGATCCTTCCCTGGGACTAAGATATTACTAAGCTTGAACAAGCTTGGCAAGATTTACTCCATCCCTAGTGCTCATGAAATCGGGATGGACTTACCCTTGCTAGGGGGCAACTAACCTTGTACTAGTACTAGACCTAAATGGTATTTACATTTAGTTTATATAATCACTTCTTTGCTGATCCTTTCTTGAAAGGGTGTGATGCCAAGTATGCTAACAGTTTGGATTAAACTTTTCTAATTTCAGGAAGATCGTCACCAGCCCTAATCACAAACATGGTTCTGAGGATTCCTAGGATACCATTTCCTCACATTGCCATAGCAACCATTGTTGGCAGTGTCGCAGGACTGTACATCTACAAACCGATGTTGCAGAAATACTTGAAGCAGGAAAAAGAACAAAGCAACGAGGAAAACAACACCAACGAATTGGGAGCTGCCGAGGGGAAGACAGTGCTTACAAGTGTCTCTAACACAGAGCAGGAGCACACATGATACCTCAGCCAGGCCAGGAAAAATAGATTGTGAATCTATATACTGCAATTTAGAGCTTTCTGAACTCAAAGCCTCCACTCCAGCTTGTGAAACTGTTCTCAACAGGATTGCGTCTGTTGCCAAACTGTTACATATTACCAGTAAGCTGGCTTTTGGAGGTGCAATTCCCATTTCACCAGACTTTGTTTGTCTACCAAGCCTTGAGGGACAGTTGTTGGTCAGGATGATGTTGCATATGAATCTTTGAAGTTAGCTCAAGACCATTTCTAGGGAAATACTAGGCATTTTGTACAAATATAATCAGAGACATACAAATATCAGGGATCTGCAGACATCTTATTAATTATGGTGTAGTCTTTTAGTGCATGTACACAACTTATTTTAAATGTGGATTCAACTGGACTGTCGAGGGAAGGATCTTTATCCTTGGTATATTTATAATCCCAGGTAGATGGGGGTATATATCCCCTACTTATGGGGATGGGCTATTGAATCATCCCCACACACACACACACTTTTTTTAAATGAGCAAAAAAATTAAAGCGGATTGTGAAGAAATTTCAGGGTTTCCAGACTAAAATATTTGCAATACCACTAAAAAGCGAAAGCAATTTTAAAAAGCCATGAATGTGACATTCTGATGTAAGACTCTGCATGAATCGGGTGTATATGGTGCCCCCCCCTTTAAATTTCCATGGCTGGGCAAGTCATCCCCCACCTTTCCCCATCCCTCAGTTTCCAACACAGACTTTAATACACCTCCGGTCTCGATCAAATCCAACTATTCCAAGTTTTTAAAAAGCATCTCGGTTCAAATTTTGAAAGTATCTTGTATTGTGAACTTTTTTAAGGAACGGGAAGGGTCTAGGTTGCCTGCTGTCACTTTGTAGTTTCAGGAGTACGTTGTGGTTATCGCAGGGTATAAATATGGCAGATATGATGCCGTGGTCATGTTTAGCACTGCAAGCTTTCAGTTTGATAGGGCAAATTCTGACCAAGTTTATTTCAAACTGTAAGAAAGAGGACGACCATAAAGCAATGATAGTCCCAAGCCTGTTCATAATTTTACAATCACCACTTCAACAAGCAATAGAGCGATTTTCCACGCTCTGTGGCTAAACATTCTGAACCTATGCATGTTTGCAGCTGTGCTACATTTTCCTGGCACTTTCTTCCGTTCAGTTTACAAATTACTAAACTAAAAAGTTCTGTGAAGATATTCATGGTGCTTGTATGTATCCCATCAGAATTACTTTTTGTTGTGAAATAAAAAAAACAGACTGCTGTCTACTGATTCAATTCAAAAGTTTTAATCTCATATCAACTCAACATTAACACACAGCAGTGTAAAACTTGCAGTTGGAGAGCATTTATACATGCCATGAAATATAAATATGTTCAAAAAATCAGTTCTGATTAAGTAAAACAAGAACCATGTGGTTTTTATCTGAAATTTTCTTCAAAGAAAAGATCATGTTTTCAAAGAAAGTCATGTTTTGGAAGAAATAAACAAACCCCAAATGAAGCTGAGAATTTTCATCAGAGACCCCTCTAAAAGTACATCTACTGAAAACATCCTTCTCAAACACTGCAAGAAGCATTTGATGGTGTCATGCAATTCCTTGGTAACCTCTGAACTCCGACCTATGTTAGCACTACAAAACGAATCTGCAAAGATGATGTGATACATGGTGTATCTGTTAAGTTTTTTGCCAAGTGTCCAGTTACAATATGAAGTATCCTATCTTGTAGAATTTGACATGCTGTCGGCTAACATCCATGAAAATATCTAACATCACATCCATGCATTTGTGACAGTAAGCACAGCAGCTGAAGATCCATGGTTGAAGATATGAAGGTTCAGTGGTCATGACGTGGAAGGTAAATTTCCAAACACGAGCATGTCAATCTGGTAACTTCATCCAAATATGGCAAAATCTCTGAAAAGAAACAAACAGGGAATGGAATAAATAACATTACAAGGGTTTGGGAGAGAGAAAAGCAAACATCAACTTTTGGACTATGATTCTCTTGGCAATGTGCACCATAACATTAAAGCAAAACAACAGTGCTTGATGCACAATTGCTCTCAAGCCTCTGGTCAATCCTGTGTGAAATCTCTACTTCCCTTTATTTTCTGTCTTTGAAAAAAAAAAAGCAAGTGGCGAAACTCAGAAGTATAAAAAAATACTGCTATAAGATAAAGTGATCGCACAAAGATCGAGCGAATGCACAGACTGACTAATTATGCTCAACAACAGCAAGGGGAAGACCTTTGTTTAAGGACCTCCGTGTTCCTGAGTATTTCATTTCTGAATGGGTATCCACCACGTTTATACGAACCTTTTTGTTTAAAAGACCACAAAAGTAGCCCATTACCAAAATACAGTCAACTCTTGTCAACAGTCAACAAAGTTCGGGTTATAACAAAGTCATTTGTCTGGTCCTTGTAACTTTGTTATAACAAAGTTACAAGGACCAGACAAATGACTTTGTTATAATTTGTCTGGTCCTTGTAACTTTGTTATAACAAAGTTACAAGGACCAGACAAATGACTTTGTTATAACCCGAACTTTGTTATAAGAGGAGTGGAAAAGCAAAGAAAAGCATAAGAATTCAAGAAAGTAAGATTCTCAGAATTTGTTCTTTATAAAAGTATTTTGTTATAAAAGTGTTCTTTGTAATGAGAGTCGACTGTACTACTCAAAGATGGACCACAGCAAGAGACTAAGAAGGAATTAAAAAAGTAGACCTTAAGTCCTTACCTAAAACAAATGAATTCCTAGTAAACTGTCATCACACAGTAAGTCCACATTAATCCTCTGTCTTGTATTTTCCTCGGACAAACGGTACATATCCCATGATGACTTGCCAATCCGTGGCAAAGAGGAAAGTGACACCTAGCACTCCACCCCATATACCTGCCGTTCTTTTCCTGGAAATAAACAAGACGTATGATTAGCATACAACACTTTCAAAATATAGACAGGATGCTGATTCTTTTTTTTTTAATTTTGCTTTGGACTGAGTTACAATAAAAATGACATGTCAAGAGCTAATTTTGAAGATGCCTATGTTACAGGGAGATGTGAATTTTTAATGATGCCTTTTGCCCTTTCACCAGGCCATAATCATAACACTGCATCCTTGCTCTTGCATGTTGTCCAATAGCCGACAAAAATTCACAAGCTTATTCAAATCTATGACTTGAATACTCAACTTCTGAGTGTGCTACAATGTAGGTCAAATGGCTGGTCAAGTCAGATGTACTAATAAGCACCTCAATCACACTGTCTTCACTGATTTGCTTTACAATAGGGAAATATTTTGTGATGAAGGGTTTTGCACACTGGAAGCGTTTAAAACTCCCCGTTTTAGTCAAATGTGAGAAACGCAGTTGCTAGATTTGGAATTCTTTCCATATGTAGTTTTCTGTGCCATGTCTTTCATAAATCATAATTATGCCTTAACAGTGGCTTTTCATTGAAAATAGGTCCAATAAAAGGCCCCCCATACACACAATGAGCAAATTTTGTGTAGGGCCTATGTACATGTACTATGTACAGAAATTCAATTGATTAAGTAAATGTTCATAACTGCCCATACTACATAACAAATACACTTCAGTGACGGCTGCAGACACCATCCTTTCTCCAGTAACCAAAACCATGGACTGGCTACCTCCAGAATTGCAACTGGGGTTCAACGTCCGCAACGCCCCCACATCACTTATCTGCTTAGCCTTGCCATGCTTTCTGTAACTTTTGACTGGATGTCGGACAACTTGACCGTTTGCCAACTCGACTTTGGGCAACTCAACCGTTGAGACAACTCGACCGCTTGCTAAGGTTTTGGTTTAAAGGGAAATGTAAACTTCTTTTTGAACAAAAGTTGCTTTCGGATAATTCTGGCCAGAATTCTGAATTCAGAATTCTGCGTTAGGACAACTCAACTATGACAGAGAGACAACTCAACCAGTGAGATCTCTTTACATAATACAGTCGTTTTCCCAGTTCAAGATAGCAAAATTATTCGGTCAGATTGCAGACCTACAAACATCCTCAAATTCCAGTGAAATGTGGTCACCGTCCACCTTGTGTGATAGAGATACCACGGTTACCACAAAATCAGTTTCAAATTTTAAACTTTTAATTTGGACGTACAGGATCGACAAAAGTGGTGACACTTTATAATGCATGATCCAAAACTAGGAAACAATATGCATTCAGTTTTTGGCCAGTTTTTAAAAAACGCAACTTTGAAAGTCATTTTGATTAAACAGACATGAGATGCAAGAGTTTATACATGTATGACTGTTGAGTATGAAAACAGGATTTGGGATCACTCGTCACAGTGAGTGATATATATCGCCTTAGACTATGCATCATTTTTTTCCTGCTACCGTTCCAAAATGTCAACGTGCAAATCAGAATTCTGGCCAGAATTATCCGAGAGCAACTTGTGCCCCTGTCAACTCGTACCCCAGTCAACTCATGCCTGAGTCAATTCGTACCTTGCATACATTATTGTCATCAGTGGATAATCCTACCAATGGCTGCTTTGCTTGCAAAAACTAAACGTTTTAATTAATTTTAGTTTACGTTATATAATCCTCTCCTTCACTTTAGAAAAATCCTTGTACGTTGGGCCACTGCGCGAACCAAATTTTGTCACGCCCCCAGAGCGCTAGCGCTGCACCAGCGCGGCCCGCCTGGTTTTCAGTTTTCCTTCCAAAGTTGCTTTTGATCGAGCTCAAGTTCTACTCTGATCAGTATCCAATCCAAATTTTTGCATGGCACCATTTATGACATCATTGGCCTAATATGGAATGTAAGGGCATGGCTGCCGGAGATTGGCAAACATAATAATAACTTTAAATATGCAAAGCACAATTGGATGTAGTGAGAATTTAAAATGGTTGTGCAGCGAAAATGCTGCATGTTGCATGTTCTTGGTTGATTATTAGCAAAATCTCACCACGTGCTTTTTACATCCGAACTGACCAAATGACGTTTGACGATTTTGGTTTGGTTTGGCAGTTCGGCTGCAGTGCTATTCTAACGTGCGGAGTACGAGTTGTCCTGGGTACGAATGGTCCAGGGAACGAGCTGACCTGGGTACGATCGAGTTGACTTGGGCGGGAGTTTGGGGGACAAGGTGGCCTGGGTACGAGTTGTCTCGGGTACGATTTGACCTGATACCGTCGATACATGTGAGTGTCCTGGTCCGTGCACACACGGCGTATGCCACGGTAGCCCCACTAGTGTGGCACGGACTCTCACTCCCGATCCATCCTTAGCCACACATCCGTACATGCAATTTCGTGTCGGCGTATTGAACATTTCGGCGCACCCACTTATCATCATGAGCACAATTTCTTTTGCACACGAACACGATTCTTGACCTTTCCGCTTTTTAAAAACAATTTATTGAATGATTTCACTCACGTTATTCAGGTATTTTCCAGTCTTGTTGCCTTTATCCATTCACTCTAACGGGCTCGCTCTTACAGTCGCCGTCTTTAAAATAAGGTCGGTGAACATTACATCACTTGATCCCTCATCGTTTCGGCAGCTCTTCCATGTCAAGACATCTAAACTGCTGCCAAAATTTTGGAAGAGGCCGTTGGTACATGTCGTATCTTATCGCTCAGTCCGTGTATTACATACATGTATGTCTTGACATGGAACAGCCGTCGAGATGATGAAATGTTCAATACGCCGACACGAAAATGCGTATAACATACGGATGTGTGGCTAAGGATGGATCAGGAGTGAGAGTCCGTGCCACACTAGTAGTGGGGCCAATGGCAATGCCACGGCAAAGCCAGCCGACATTTACACCATCGCCGAGTCTGCTTTCAACAAAATGTGAATCCTGGTAACAGAAAAACACAACTCACCAGTTCCTTGACAGCTCAATATACCTAGGGCCAATAAATTTTGAAACAGCTCCTGGAATTAAACCCATTTTGATGAAATATTTCCTCCTGCGCGGAGTGACTGAAGTCGCGATTTTGTACGATTATTAAGGTCAGTTGCCGGTGTAGCGCGGTACCCATTAGCCATACAGAAGAAGCCATATACATCACAACTATCGGTAAGTGCACCAGCCTACAGCGTCTGCAAAAGGAGGACGCCCTCTATGGTTTTGTCCAACCTTTCTCGAATTTTCTTTATAGAACGCCGTTTTATTCCGTTTTAATCCATCGCGAGAAATCTTGACTCCGTCTCCGTTCAGGCCTCGTGACTTACATCGAAACTGTTTCTAGCTTATGTTCGAAATAAATGAAAACAATTCTATCTCTGGGTCAATAACAAAACATCTTGATCTCGTGTTACTGCACTGAAAAATACACCTCCAAATTACATGTACATGTATCTAAAACTCAATGAAGCGAGCCGCGCCGGGCCGGCTGGGGAGAAAGCTGAGATGCCTGGAGCCGAAACTGAGATTTGGAACTCTTAAACACTTTTCATGTGAAATGGAACATTTGTCTGGCAAAATCAGATTTCCAGTCAAACAATCATGCGGTGTTTAGCGGTCCACGGTAAGTGTTATAGCTCTCGATCATAATACTGACAACTTGGGCCCTGTTAGCCACGCTACCAATAATGTATGTTTGTAGTATGGATTTACATATGAGATACAAGGCTTAGTCATATCGACCTACATTTTTGTGTTTTTGCCTGATATTGTGGAAACTCATTGGTAATGAGAGTCTGATTTTTTTACACCGTTGCAAACGTCCAGTTGTGCAGCCTGTTAGGGGCGTGTGGAACGCCAAGTTTATTCAGCAATCTGTAACATTAGTATAACGTCGTTTAGTAAATTTTTAAAACTGCCTCAATCGGAGGTGAATGGAAGAGAATTTCCCCTCCCATTAAGAAGATTTGAAAAACAGTCCTCTACTTGCATCACCAGTCAACCGACAAATAAACCAAAATTAATGATTGGTCTCGTTCCTATGTCCGATCATCCAACTCTCGGACATTGGCCTGAAAGGCCAGATTTCACATACTCCAACCAGGAGTTATTGCAAGTCACCAGAGACGAAGTGTCACTGATTGGGAAAGCACCATCATCTTTTCACAGCACAGAGTCCAGACTGGCTGGTCCTCAGGGATGCTGACTTTTTTACCACTCCGGCCAGCCCCCCCCCCACGCCCCGATGGGATCAAAGCCTGTGCCCACATTATATGTAAATACTCGTTGCAGCCATTTCGCCAAATTTTATACAGTATGGCGCCTGGGGCACTCAACTTAAGATGAAATTGAAATACCGTAACGATTGTCATTTAATGATAGAAAAGAACCATTCAATTTCAATCTCTGCGCATTTCATGGTCTTTAAGGTCCCTTACTTCATCTTTAAAAAAAATACGCTTTCATAGCAACTGTATAATTGTATTAGTCATTCATTGTCGCAGGGACAAGCATTGGTTGCTTGTGCTTGAACAGACTTTCATAATTTTTGTCTCGCGTGTCACTATTCCTGTGAAACCCTGTTCAATCACAAGAAAAAGTTATCTAGAGAGGTGTTCCCGGCTGAAAGGAATTCAGATTATTAAAAACAGTGATCCAAATTATGACAAGCATAGCACCGTATTTTTTCCTGTTATCCGTCCATCTCATCTAAAACAAGTTACTTAATTTAATCTAACAGTGACATCCCTGTCTAAAAACTGGTGGAAGGGATAATCCCCATCCTTACGGGGGATTTTTGCCCACAACCCTAATTTTGTTTCCAATACCCCTCTTGTGCCAATATTTCCGCAATCGGAAAATGTATGTGAGTTTGCCGGAATGACTAACTTCTATCAAAGAAAATTGTAGTTTTTATTTCAAAACGTCTGACCCTTTAACAGTGCACTTTTCAGAGGTATGATGTTTTTCATCTCTTATCCGCCAACACCGCTACCCTCCACGTGCCAATGGTGCTTGACTTTACTGTGTGGTTCTTAGGTGTAGAGTGTTACCCATTCTATGTGATTTACTGAATAACGGAGAATTATCAGAGTCAATGTTACAGTTCATGTATCAAAAGAGACATCAACAGAAATGGTTGCCGTTCAACAACAAAATCCATCTTTATTAAAAAATAACCTTTTCTGATCAACTGCTGCTGTAAATTCTGCAAATCAAAAGACTACACGTGAACACCTTTTTTGAATTCACAAAACAGTTTGAGGTTTGCAAGCATTAACAACAAAACACATAAAATAAATAGTTCTGAACAATACATACAAATTAAAACTTTTAAACAGTTTTACCGTCACGGTAAATATTGTTGTTTCTTTTCAATTGTTTCTGCTAAGTTTTTAAAAAATTACATCTGATTAATTTTTTTTCACTTGCTTAAACGAATTCTAACTCTGTATTTTTGGCATCATTATAAACCTTAACTTTGATTGTCTTTCAACAAGTGCATATTACATGAAATACAGTATCACATGAAATTCTAAAATCAAAGTGTATCACTTTTGAAAGTGTATTATAAAGATATTATTAAATGAAATGAATGTTGATGAAAATGACATTCCACACATTCTAATCTTACACTCTTGCTTCAAAGCAAACTTGATGAAGTTAGTGCATCTTTTATTTTTTTGTACGTCCGATAATCTACATGTACACAAAAGTGCAAAATACAGTCTCCGATATTAATTTATGATTAATTAGTATGCAGTTCGGTATTAACGGCTGGAGCTTTCAACAGAACATGCGTGCACTTAAAGTTGTTGTTTCTACTAACCTTTTAAAGAATATTTAATCAGCCACAAATCCTTTTAACTTCTAACAAAGCGCAGATTTTGGTCTTCTCTATTTGTTTTATTTTACACTTGCATTCAAGCTCCACGTAATGCTGTGACTATTGTTAGTGTGTGTACAATTAAATTATCTTTGTGGTCATTCGCAATCACTTTCATAAGTTAGGTAAGTGTTTACAATAATGTCACCTTCTAAGTATAACTGCGATTCCTGCTTTGACTCTTGTATCAAACTGCTTGCATTCATTTACATCTAATTAATCAGCAATTAAAAGTTCCTATTTAGTCGACCTCCTCAACTGTAGGTCCTTGGCTTGCTCCTGAAGGCCCGCCTTGGAACTGGCTACCTGCCTGTCTACCTCCTCCATGAATCTTAGTCATGATGGGAGAGCATTTCCTAGAAAGTTCTTCCTGTTGATGAGTGATCTCATCCTTCTCAGCAAGAGTGTTTCTCTCCATCCAGTCCAGGGTCTCTTTGACGGCATCCCGTACCGTCTTCTTGTCGTCATCGGTCAGTTTTCCCTCTGGGACTTCATCTACGGCTTGCTTTAGGCTGTAAGCGAACGACTCCAGGCCGTTCCTTGCAGTGATGCGGTCTCTTTGTGCTTCGTCCTCTGCCTTGTACTTCTCGGCGTCTGCCAGCATACGGTCGATCTCAGCTTGGCTCAGGCGCCCTTTCTCGTTCTTGATGGTGATACTGCTGGACTTGCCTGTACTCTTGTCTTGAGCAGACACATTCAGAATGCCGTTAGCATCAATGTCGAAGGACACATCGATCTGTGGCACACCGCGTGGTGCAGGAGGAATTCCGGAAAGTTCAAAGGTACCTAGGAGGTTATTGTGCTGCGTCATGGGTCGCTCTCCTTCAAAGACCTGGATGGTGACTGCGGACTGGTTGTCAGAGTACGTGCTGAAGGTCTTGGATGCTTTGGTTGGGATGCGAGTGTTGCGTTCCACAAGCTTGGTCATGACACCACCGGCAGTCTCGATGCCAAGAGAGAGGGGTGCCACGTCTACCAGGAGAATGTCTTTGACTTCATCACTCTGATCTCCTGTCAGGATGGCAGCTTGGACGGCAGCCCCGTAGGCTACAGCCTCGTCAGGATTGATGGATTTGTTCAGTTCCTTCCCGTTCAGGAAGTCCTGCAGCATCTTCTGGATCTTGGGGATTCGAGTGGAGCCTCCTACCAGCACAACCTGATCAATCTTGTTCTTATCTAGTTTGGCATCCACCAGAGCTTGCTCAACGGGTCCAAGAGCCTTTCTGAATAGCGAAGAGCACAGTTCCTCAAACCGGGCCCTGCTGACGCTGGTATAGAAGTCAATCCCCTCAAAGAGAGAGTCCACCTCGATGTTGGCTGTCGTGCTGCTGGACAGCGTGCGCTTGGCTCGTTCAGCGGCCGTACGCAGACGGCGCAGGGCCCTGGGGTTGTTGGACATGTCTTTCTTGTTCTTCCTCTTGAATTCAGCAGCCAGATGTGCCACCAGGAGATTGTCAAAGTCTTCTCCGCCAAGATGGGTATCTCCAGCAGTAGCTTTCACCTCGAAGACACCATCGTCGATGGTGAGGATGGACACATCGAAGGTGCCGCCTCCCATGTCAAAGATGAGGATGTTCTGTTCTCCTTTGAGTTTCTTGTCCAGTCCGTAGGCCAGGGCAGCTGCAGTGGGCTCATTGATGATCCTGAGGACATTCAGGCCAGCGATGACCCCAGCATCCTTGGTAGCCTGTCTCTGGGAGTCATTGAAGTAAGCAGGCACGGTCACCACTGCATCTTTGACCTTCTGACCCAGGTAAGCTTCAGCTACCTCCTTCATCTTGGTCAGGACCATTGAGCTAACTTCCTCGGGGGCGAATTGCTTCTTCTCTCCCATGTACTCTGCTTCGACCATCGGTTTGCCACCTTTGTTGATCACGGTGAATGGCCAAAGCTTCATGTCGGCTTGAACTGACTGATCATTAAACTTTCGTCCGATCAGACGCTTGGCGTCAAAGATTGTGTTCTTTGGGTTCCTGACGACAAAAAAAAGGAAAAGAAAAACAAAATGAAAAGTTTTACGTTACAATTTTGCCAAGTATTTTTGTTAATAAAACTAAGCCAGCCTGGCCTAGAAACATAAGATACACTATATGAAAGCTTAGTACTTGTTATACAAAATTCTATGCTGGATTATTTCTTATTTATAATGTACAATAAGAACCCAATATTTTCGTACAATTTTTCTCGCTTTTGGAAGGATTTGTACAGAAGTAAGTAACTTTTTAATACTTTTTCAAATGCTAAATTGGAATCTTGCTAAACGTAAACTTCCATGACTGAAAGAAACCTTTTTGTTTTCATCGCTAGTCAAGCAGTAAAATAATTTATGGTCAGAAATAACAATACAATCTGTTTGGGATTCTATTCAAGATTAAGTAATTTGAAAAATTCATTCAATATGATTTGCTGTCCGGTCTACTTGATTACAAAATTAAACTTATCCGAAAAAGTCTGTTAAAAAAGAAATCGCAATGAATCATTTACAAATCTTTAGTTTCTTAACGGTGTTATTTTAGCCATTTTATATTGGCAATAGTGTGGAAGGCTCAATGCGGTCATGGTGTTAGATCTGACAATACGATCAAAAACATGTGTCTTGTCAGTCTGCCAAGGTACTGCTTCAAGAAAATGACTGAAATTAAGTCGATTATCGCCTTAAAGGGATAATGCACATAGATCGACCGTGCATACGAGCACGTAGTCTGATGACTGTCGTCCGTGACGGAGACATGGTATCGGCTCCGTCTAAATACATTAATCAAAAATGTGCAATATTTGACTCGCTCTGCATTCGGCATATTGCATATCATAAGATGAAAAATGATGAGGGATTACTCAGAAATCGAATGCAAATTTGTGGTAATTATTTCAAATACGTTTCTTTAAAAACTCAAGTGCTTAAAATAATCTATTTCGCACCCTTGCATCATCTGACTGATTTAATACACACAAAGTGGACTGTATATGCGTAAATATCTAACTTCACAAAATCCTGGTGGGCCTAGGCCTATTTTGTGACCAAAATTATTTCAGCAGCTTCAAGTTGATCGAGTTTGCACGCTATCTGCAGTAACTGCACCAGATAAAATTAGAGATCGATGTACTTACATAGCAACTTGATTCTTAGCAGCATCTCCAATCAGTCTCTCTGTGTCAGTGAAGGCGACATAACTTGGTGTGGTCCGGTTGCCTTGATCGTTGGCAATGATTTCCACTTTGCCATTCTGAAAGACTCCAACACACGAGTAAGTCGTGCCTAGGTCAATCCCGATAGCTTTGGGCTTAGCCATCTTCAGTGTGGGTTACTTTACTAAGTTGCGATGTCAAAGTTCTGATTCTGGATTGGCAATGTTGACGCTCCTTTTTCGTCTTGGAAAATCACTCTTCGTGGAGGGTGTCGTTTTTCGATGTAGGAACTGATCCTAAGTCGCTGTCTGGCTCGTTTGAAAATCTGACGATGCACTGCAGCTGTCGCGAATTTATGCTAGCAAAAATAGTTCGAGTAAATTCGATTCCAAAGATATAAACGTAATGCATTCTTTTCATTCCGTCCAGAAATTTCTGCAGTTCATTATAAAGGCTATTATGTCCCGCCCATTTTTCTCGAAAGTGCTTTGCATAGGACTTTGACTGACAACAGAAATCTAGTTTGGTACCTAAACCTTCTGTACCATATTTATAATATAATATTGGAGAAAGCACCATGTTACGAAACGTGCATATTCATGTTTTACTCCGGAGGTGATGACGTCATATAAAAAATAATTGGAACAGAAATTTCCAGAATGTCTCGAAAGAGGGCGTCCGGCAAACGTAATTATTGTCAACATGGCGAATGGTGCGGGAAGTATCTGTGTGAAATTTTCTGAGAAAAGTGGACGAACACAACTAGACGAAATAGATTTTTCTGGATTAGTAAGCTCCTTACGAGAAAAAGTGTCCGCAGCCATCGGTTTGCCGTCATCTGAACTTTGTAAGATTACTTCTTCCGAAGTTGTAACGTCTAAAAAGATCATTCATAGACCTAAGATGTAGGCCTATGCACGGACCCTCACGCCCGATCCATCCTTAGCCACACATCCGTATGCGCAATTTCGTGTCGGCGTACTGAACATTTTCGGCGCACCCACTTATTATCGTGGGCGCAATTTCTTTTGCACACAGACATGATCCTTGACCTTTCCGCTTTCTAAAAACCATTTATCAAATGATTTCACTCACGTTATTCAGGTATTTTCCAGTCTTTTCGCCTTTATCCGTTCAATCTAACGGGCTTGCTCTCACAGTCGCCATCTTTAAAATAAGGTCATTGAACATTACGTCACTTGACCCCTAATCTTCTCGGCGACTGTTCCATGTCGAAACATATATAATACAGGGATAAGCAATGAGCGATAAGATACTACATGTACTAAATGGGCTCTTCCAAAACTTTGGCAGCTGTTTAGATGTCTCGACATGGAACAGTCTTCGAGAAGATTAGGGGTCAAGTGACGTAATGTTCAACGACCTTATTTTAAAGATGGCGACTGCGAGAGTGAGCCCATTAGATTGAATGGATAAAGGCAAAAAGACTTGAAAATACCTGAATCACGTGAGTGAAATCTTTTAGCTCATTTTGTGGTAACAGGTAACATACGTAGGGACATATTGAGTTAACTGAACAAAAATGAACCAGATGGATGAAGTAACACTGTGACAGACTCTTGTCTTAATATTTCTTGATCTGATAGCGATGGTTTACTGTGGTCGACTCTTACGAGACACAGACAGCTTGAAATTCTATGGATTAGAATCAGGATGCACTGTCCATGCACTGAGGAAGAAAGAACCAGTACCAACCGCACAAGCAGGTTAGAAAATACCACCGGGAGTTTATTTTCGCAAGAAATCAATATTGTGAAAACAGATGTAGAATTGTTTTAACAACAATAGGCTGCATCTAGAGCTAGGTCCAAGGCAACACCCATTGGAAACTTGCAGGAGCACACTGATAATTACATGTAAATGCCATTCCCCTGAAATCCCATTTGAGGCCTTTGTATGAACTAAATGGATCTGACCTCAATCTGACCTGACTTCAGACTAAATCTGACCTAATGTAACCCTTTGTAATGTGTTGATTGATCCGGTAACGTGGCACTAATTTTACTCTGAGTATTATTCAACCCAATTTTGGCTCCTCGAAGAATGACGTATGATAGTTCGTGTTGATGCACTTTGAAAAAAAAACCTGGTATTTCTGCCTTGGTGTTGTAATCCAGACCTGGCTTTTGTGTTCACTTTAAATTTCAGCGTACAGTCTAATACCTAAAGGATTTCCTCTCTAATCAAACATTATTGGTGGTCATTTCATCCTCCTTTTTACTCAGTCTCTCTATTCATTTATATTCCAGAACCACTGGATGATGTCGCCATTCGTCACCTGATAACCGCCCTTCATGCTGCTCTACTAAACCCCGCCCACCGACAAGCTGTAAGTAGGACTAAAACTGAGCTCTAATTATCTATTGAACTGAAGATCATTTTATTCTTTCTAATTATTTTCCCAAAATGCATTTTGTGATACAGGTGCACAGGATCCTGACAAGCACTGAAACCATTGACAATATTATCGCAGTGACACCTGGGTTAGCATCAGACCACACGGCAGTGTGTAAGTCTGCCAGTCTGCTCCAGTTTTTGACACCATTTTTAATCCTTTTGGATTTTTTATTGACTTCAAAATCTCGATATACATGTTATTTTTTGCTCAAACCAAATCAAGAAGTAATTTAGTTATCTTTATGTCCTCAACCCAAATCTTTTGCAGCAATGCTTCGAGACCCAGAGTTATTGATACAGATTGCTGATGCTGATAATGTGCGGAGGTGAGAACAATATGAAAACTGATGGTCATTGTAAGGTTTTTGTGGCAACCACTTCCTGCCGGGGCAGTTATCAATGTTGATGATGCTGGGCCGGGATATTTATCATTTTTTTCTGTTTTCAAAATTCTAAAAAAATTCCAATCTTCATTTACTGGACACTTACAAACACGTGAAGGACTGTCTGGTGTCCCCTCTAGCCTGACAGACAAAATCTATTGATGCCTGAGTATTTCAGCCAGGCCTGCAGCCTTGTAAAAAGAGCCCAGATTGTGCAGTGTTATATAAATTTCTTTTGTTCACGAACCTGGCTCAGTATGCTGCTGACTTCTTTTCAAAATGGGCCAGATTAGCGTGCAGTGGTGCTGTGTGGCTCATCGCTGCGATGGTGGAGCACTTTTGTTCCCTGGTAATCCGCTCGCTCTAAATGCCCCAAACCGTGGTATACTGTTTCAAAACAAGACTGGATTATCACCACTTTTGAGAGTGAAAAAGTGTCTGTAATTCTCAGCAGCCTGGTCTTTTGTTTCGAGTACGGCCTTTTGTTTCAAGGCCTTGTTCCCTTTGACCGAGTTCGGAGACCCCGGCCACGGCAGGAAGTGGTTAAACAACATTCCTCTATCCTTCCCTCCTCTTCACATGTAATGACAGTGAGCTTTCCTCTATATGCCCTTCTTGGAGCTACTGAAACTGGTGCTTCATTGCCTTATTCAGTACTTTGAAATCTTTAGAATGGTTGGGGTTTATGAAATTATCTACTGACTGTGAAAATTTGCCCCAATGAAAGTTTTATGTTGCATATTTCTTGTCAGGATTGTTGGTGCACACCCAGCTATTGGCCATGCTGTCATGCACATAGCAGCGTCAGTCAATGAAGAAGGCATACAAACTGACCGAGCAAGAACTGCGGAAGCTGAGCAGGGTTAGTGGCAAGGGAGTGATGGGAATGCTCTGGATTCATCGAGATTGGTGCCTTTGAACAAAACAAAAATGCAGTGCACACATACGGCAGATTTTCAGTTTTTTAAATTCTTCAAAAATTCATCATTTCATTTAATGGACGTTTACACCCACACGAATAACTCTTTGGTGGTTACTCTGAGCTGACAGGTAACCTTCATTGACTCCTGAATATTTCAGCCAGGCCTGCCACTCTGTAAAGAGAGCCTAGAAGTGTGAGGTGTTGCAAAATTTCTTTTGTCCCCAGGGAATGCAAGTGGCGTCTTTTCAAACATGGCTGGATTAGTGTGCAGCGGTGCTGTGTTGCTCATCAATGAGGCCCTGAAGCACTTTTGTGTGCGGTGCTAATCCGGGGGTGCACTATGCCCAAAACAGTGGTATACTGTTTAAAAACAGTGCCGGATTCCCTTTGAAAAATGCAAGCCGAAAAATGATGGCAATTCCCAGCAGCAGGTCTTTTGTTCCGAGTAGGGTCTTTGGTTACACAGACCAGCTCTTTTGTCCCATTTCGGGCACCCCCAGCTCTGCATATAAACCCATATTGCTGGAAACGGGGTTCCCCAGCAGCAAGTGGTTTAACCCTCTTATACAAGTATGGGCTCCAAGCTGGACCAAGAGAGGGTGCAATTTGCTTAGCAATGGAGGCTCCGTTGGCAGTAACTGTGCATCCCTGGTTCACGAGCAACTATGAAAGGCAAGGGTTGCAGTCACATCGCTACCAACAAAATGAATATTTCCTGTTAGCAGTCGGTGCCTTCCCAGAACTTTCTGTATTTAGAGTGCTTGGCCTAGAGCGGGACTTGGGCATAGACACTAAAGATTCAGACACAGCAACATGAAACTGGCACTAAGTCCATCTTCCAAAGGAATCTTCAACTTCAAATTGTGCATTCCAGGCGCAGTGCTCCGAGGAAACGGCCTTTGGGTAAGATTATGGTCAATTAATCATATAGAAGTCATTTTTGAGAGGTTGTATATTTTTTTCGTTTGTCCTTTACAGGCCCCCTTCAACCTGATTTATCAGATGATGAAATGGACACTTCCTCCAATGTAAGTAACCATTCCATATCACCCTTTCAAGTCATTGAATGTTTCCTTTGAAATCATCCCCAAATACCTGTATTTATTACATCGCTTTATCACCCAGTTGCTTTGCCACTTTAATCATTCGTTCACGAACTGACCATTACTTCTTTATCATGTTTTATTGATGGCCTTAACTGCACTTTAAAATACAATCAAGAATCGCCTTATGTTCAGAATCAGATGTGCTTTCAGAAAAAGCTGATTGTCCAAAGAACCCTCGGACCCCATTCTGACTGAATTGTTGTTTCCCATCTCAGGCCTGCTCATCAAAGCTACTGTGTGCCATGGTTTTCTTCACAAATAAGAAGGGACAAGGTTGTCAGAAGTAATATCGTCAGGCTTTAGTAAAAGCGTGACCTAAACCTCACCTTCGTTCAAAACTTATGCAAAACTTCTAAACTCATATTTTAAATTCCGTGGCCTGACAGGATATAATTAATTGCATCTAATCATGCCAGGCAGGCATCCTGTGCTTGAAACCAAATAGAATTAGGATGAGGTCAAAGTGATTGCTCCCTTCCTGTGATTTGGACAGACAGCTGACTTTTCTGTGGGTCAGAGGTCAATGTCATGAAGCCAGTGTGAAGCACAAGTCGGGTCGGAATGAATTAGCTGCCACGAGGACTAGCTGGGACAGTGGCAAAGTGACTGCGGCTAGGACTAACACACATCTCTGTGTGCAGTGGCTTTGGCTAGGACTAACACACATCTCTATGTGAAGTGACTGTAGCTAGGACTAACACACATCTCTATGTGAAGTGGCTGTGGCTAGGACTAACACTCATCTCTATGTGAAGTGACTAAAGCTGATAGCCAGTGGCTTCCATGGGAGAATGTGCAATTCTGGGGACCAAGCCATAGCCAATTCAGTCATATATGGCCTTGCTGTACTTAATACCTAATTTCCTCTTGAAGGAAATTATGTTCCTAGTATTGCCATGAGATTGAATTCTTATCTGGAGGACATTTCTGATGATTCATAATTATGATGATTCTTGAAAATAATTTAAGTTCATTAACAACCCTGATCAATACAACGAACTTCAGACACCGTAGAAAGCTGTGTCCGATTGATTCTTTACTGCTGAATTCCTGTTGAATCAGGTTTTGAAAGTTGATGTCTTCCCACATAGGGTCAATTGCCTCTACTTCACCAGGGATATCTGATTACTGCCTTGTCTGGCACCTATTATACCAGACTGGTTGTTATTTATACTTCACATTACATGCTATGTCATAATGTTAAGTTCCTTCTCACAGAGGTTTTAGATATTCAGTGTGCATATATTTGCACTGTGAGTTAATCAACACGTGGCACTGTCTTGTATGGTATGGGGGAGAGAATCTCCTTCTCATGACCGTAGCATGCCAGTTCTTTCAGTAATTCAGTCCATGATGACTGCTTTGTTGACTACATCAGAGAATCTCCTTCTCATGACCATAGCATGCCAGTTCTTTCTGTAATTCAGTTCATGATGACTGCTTTGTTGACTACATCAGAGAATCTCCTTCTCATTACCGAAGCATGCCAGTTCTTTCTGTAATTCAGTCCATGATGACTGCTTTATTGACTACATCAGTTCACTAAATTCAAGAAGAGAAGCTTCGCTTGTAAATGACAGATATTTTCCACAAAATTTGTCTTGGTTTTGCTGACATTCATTCACACCATTGCCCAGGTTTCTTTATCTTGGGGTCATAGTTCAAGTCATCAATAGCCAATCACTAAATCCCAACATTTGCTTTGTCTGATGTTCATTTTT